CTCAAGAATTTGGCCCATGTGTATCGAGAGTAATCATCCACAATGACTAAAGTGTATTTCCGTCCATTGATACTTTGTACTCTCATTGGTCCACACAGATCCATGTGTATCAGTTGTAATGCTTGAGAGGAGGATGGGATTTGTTTTGACTTGTGAGAGCTCCTTGCCATTTTGCCTAATTTGCAGGCACCACAGTGGTTGTCAGCGGAAGTCTTCAGAGTAGGCAGCCCTTTCACAAGTTTCTTCTTGGACAGAAAGATCAGTTGTTTGAAGTTCAGATGAGATAGGCGTCTGTGCCACAGGCTGTTTTGCTCAGAGGAAGCTTTGGACAACAGGCAGATGGAAGAAGTTGATTGAACACTTTTCAGATCAATAGTGTACAGGTTTGATGTCCTGTTGCACGTTAATAATGTGTTTCCATAGCTGTCTATCACACAGCATTGTCTAGATTTGAACTTCACTTCCATCCCGCTATCACAAAACTGTCCAATGCTTAACAAATTGTGCTTCAGTCCTTTCACATAGGAGACAGCCCTTATGGTGACACTCGGACAGATGACATCTCCGTATCCAAGAATAGGAGACGATGCGTTGTTGCCGAATCTCACATTTCCTCCGTAGCATGAAGTGTAGTTGCTCAGCAGGTGTTTTATTCCGGTCATGTGGGTTGAGCAGCCAGAATCCAAGTGCCACACATGACCGTTCTGCAAAACAATTAAGTTTTCTTAGGTACCCACCGTAGGATGGGTCCTTCCTTATTAATCAAAAACATCTTTTTAAATTTTTCTTTGAGCTGTGATCCAAGGTCAACAGCTTTTTCAGTCAAAGTTTGAACCTTTTCATGTTCAGATTCAGATTTGGGTAACCATTTCTGCTTAATTGAAGGAGGAGATGAGACATGATCATAGTGAGTGAATGGATGTTGGTTAAGATATGGCTTAACAATTTCTTCTTTGGAGAGTCTTTTCAGATGTTTCTTTGAATGAATTCGGAGGGGGTATTTTAAATGCAAAAAGTCATAATAGCCCTCAACAAATTCATTCTCAGATTTCCTTTCAGTCTTATGTTCACTCTTCCTTCTCCATTTCACATTATTCACATCACTATCAAAATCAGAACTTGTAAAACTGCCAGTACAATCATTGACATAATCAGATGATGAACAAGGTTTGTCATTAATCTTAAAAACATTCAGCTTGGGACTCAAGACTGAATTATGAGTACAAACATGCTTAACAGAGCAAGAGTTACAATTATTTTTAGAATAAAACATTGCGCTAGAACAGGACTTCTTATTTCCCAAAAATATTTTCTTCTTTCCTTCAGCAACCTCTCTTCGTTTCTTCCTCCACTCCTCTTTCTTCTCCCATCTCCGACTCACTTTGGTTCCTGTAACCGAAGGAGACTTGGAGTGAGCAGATGGATTTTCAAAAATGTTGGGAATTTTGTGGTTATGATCAATGGTTGAGTCTGTACTGCTTGTAGATTGGGAGGCTGTGTTTGATTGAGACTGTTCTTTCAAAAGAGTAAGTTCACTCAATAATTTTTCCCGCTCACTCTCAAAACTCTTCCTTTCTTCTTCAAAACTCTTTCTTTGATTTTCAAGAGAAATGTGTAGATTTTCAAATTTCTTAATGAGAGGAGGAATGTATGGTTCATCAACCTCGGAATGTGAGTTTGAGGGAGGTTCCAAATCAGACACAGCTTCCTTTTCAGAAGGATAAAGACTCACGCATTCATCAGAAGAAAAGACAGGTTCAGCTGTAGCATAACTTTTGTTCAAAGCAGAATAATCAAAAGAGATTTGAGCTTTTGTTGTGTTTGTTCTTTTCTCAGCCTCAAGTTCCTCCGTTTCTTTTGCAGTCGTAAAGTGCATAAGTTTGGTTAGACCGAATCCCATGTAATTAACATCATATAGTTGTTTACATTTGACCTTTTTCAGGTTACAGGGATTCGATAGACCAAGACCTTCTTTGGAATTATAGAAACGGGTATCCTTGGGTTGATTCAAGAAAATGGTTTGTTCAGTTTGATCACGCTTAGCTAACAAATCCTCAAGCTCTTTGATTTTCCTATAAAGCGCACTTCTTTGCTCATGTAAGACTCTTTTTAGTTCAATTGTTTGATTAAGCTCTGTCTTGGTGTTACGCAGTTCACTAGTCAATTCAGTTGTCCTAAGTACCAACTTATCCTTTTCTAAGGTCAATTTTTCTACCTTTTTCGTTGACTCATCAAGTTTCAAAGTAAGACAGGCATTTTTATGCAAGTTCTTAAGTAAAACTTTGTGATTGTTATCAAGTCTCGTCTCAAGCTCCTTAATAATCTTGTCCTTTTCTATTAAAGAATGATTTTTGCATTTGCAAGAACATGAGTTTTTAGAAGGACTTACATTGCTATTTGAGCTTTCACCTTCATCATCTCTGGGGATCGCAGCATCACCCTTTCTTTCATCCTTCTCCACGATTGCCATCAAAGCTAAGTTTTCTTCTTCCTCATCTGAAGAATCATCCTCCATCCAATGGTCCTTCTCAGCGAGCATTGCAGCATTTTCATCTTCTTGCTTTGCCATGAACATCTTCTGCTTGTTCATGAGCATCTTCTGCTTGTAATAATTGAAGTCCCTTCTTCTTGGTAGGCGACAATCTTTGATCAGATGTCCAGCCTTTCCGCAATTAAAGCACTTGGGAGCTTCTTCTGCTGCAACAGCTCTTTCTGAGGAATTTTGCTCAAGCTGTTTCGGCTTGTAGTTGGATGAGGAAGTTCTCAGCTTGTTGGATGAAGTACTCTTCTTCACAAACTTCTTATTGAATTGCTTGGTTAAGAGCGCCATTTTCTTCTGCAGCTCTACCAGCTCCGACTCCACGTCTACTTCTTCATCGCTTTCTTCATCTTCAGACACGACTGCAGCTTTCTTCTTCCTTTGCATCTTAGCTGTACTTCTCGTTTGAGTTTCCAGCACAAGAGCAAGTGGATCATTAATTCTGTTTTCTTCAGGCTCTGCAGTGTCATTCACAAATTGCTGTAGATGGTCATGAATTGTGTAGAGATCAACTTCATCAAGATCCAGATTCTGTCTCACATTCTTCACTGTCCTCTTCCATTCAGGGTTCAGACTTGATAGAAACCGTATGTTCAGCTCCATGTTAGCTTTGTTCACATTGATCTTTCTCAGATCATTCACCAGCTTAACAAATCTGTTGTAAATCTCATGCAGAGGTTCACCGGGTCTAGCCTTGAAGGAATCATAGGCAGTGAGAGTGCTTGCCTTCTTGGTTTTCAAACCTAGGTTGGTTCCTTCCATCAGCTTTCTGATTTCATCCCACATCTCCTTAGCAGAATTCATACTGTCAATCAGTATATAAATATCATTCGGAATTGCTTGGAGTAGGTACGTTTTTGCCATTAAATCAGCTTTGACTCTCAATCTGTCCTCTTCAGTATACAGCTCTACTGGTTTTGGAACTTTCACTTGGTCGACAGGGGGCTCATTTTCATCGTCTCCTCCTAGAACCATCCATAATTGAGCCGGACCCTCTGTCAGTGATTCCAGCATAGCTGAGGAATTGTCTTTGCTCTCGAGGAAGTTGAGAAATCTGTTCTTCCACATAACGTACTCATCTCTCCTGAGGATAGGGGGTCTGCTATCGTTACCCATTGAAAGAGCGTCCATATCTGCTGTTCTTGAGAAAGTGACCGTTCGAGTGATTGATCTGTTTTAAAAAATAATTATTTCTAAGTATGGAATATCGAGAAGTTTAACCTCGAGAAAGATATTCGAGAACAGGGAATTCGAGAAAGTTTATCGAGAAGTAAGTTTTCGATATTAGGACTTCGAAAACTTGGTTTTCGATATTCTAGGTTCGAAAACTGAGATATCGAGAAGTCAGATATCGAGAAGTTCAATTTCGAGAACTAAACTTTTCGATATACTGATTATCGAGAACTGAAGTCGAGAACCTGTAATATCAAAATCAGATATTCAAAGTATAAATATCGAAAAGTACTGGTGCGAGAAGCTAGTATCGAAAACTAAGTTCGAGAACTCAGTATCGAGATCATTCTGTCGAAATCCTGTACTTAAAAATTTTCAAAATTTTGAAAACGAAGATTGCTGCTGAATTGTTTTCGATGTCGAGAAGCTTCCTGGATGAATCAATCTTCGAAAAACCTGCTGAAGTACCGAGAACCTGTTTTTCGATATGCCTATATCGAAAACTTCAAATCTCAAACTTTACAGATATCGAAAATGAAGATATACTGCTGGTTCGTTTTTGAAAGACGAATCCAACAGTATAACTTTTACACAGAGTTGTCCAAAAACAGATTTACAAAGACAGATTCAATAAAATATCGAAAACATAAAACAGAGCATTCTTTGCAGTTTTTCTTCGATGCAGATCAGTACTCGATCGGCTCTGATACCAATTGTTGGTCCCAAAATAAGGATGTATTGAACAGCAAAATACGATCTATGACAATATAGGTAAGGTCTAGATAATGATATGATCAATCTAAGAGCAATAGAGCCTTACGCTATACTATCGAGAAGTATGAAAACCTTTTAGAGAATAAAATAGTACTGTATTGCTGATTATATTCTTGGTCCTGTACCACAAGTACGCGTATATATAGGCGCAGGTACAGGTACCGAGAATGGTAACCTAGAACTCTGGGCCTAGGCCTTTTTGGGCCTTAAACCCTTAGTTGGATTTATTACATCATAAATACATTAAAACGTTAATCTATTCTAGATAAATAAACAAGACATCAGACAAGCTTGATCACAATTAATATTTTTCCTCAACAGAGCATATGTGTAATATATAGATATTATTTTCTTAATAGTTGTTTTCAATTCCTTTCATTTTTAACTTGTTAGAATTTGTGTTATTAATAAAAGATGCATGTTTTTTATATATGAATTATCAAATTTAGTCAATTTAATCACTTTATTTAGAATTTCATTTAATAAATTAAATCGATTGAATGATTTAACAGGGTTTTGACCTCAATATTACCAGAAATTAGATAAATGACAAAAATTGACATTTTTTAAAAAAATTACAGAAATGTGATCAATAAGCCCTAAGCTTACTAATTTAACCCTAATTTGAAGTGATTTTTTCTTATAGTTACCAAACTTACAAGATTCGTTACAGTGACATCCTATACAATGACACCCAACACAATGACAATCGTTGCAATGACCACCAACCACCACCGCCGGCCATCACTGTCGACTACCGCGCCGGATACAGTGACATATCCGCAATTACACATCCACAATGACACCTTTAACGTTACTCCGACAATATATCACCGCAAGCCACCTCCCCCACTGTCAGCCACCACCGCGGTTGATGCCACTGAGCACCATCGTCGGCCAGAACTGCCACCCTGTCATTTGACTCCACCGGTAACCCAAGCACCCCCCCACTCCGCCATCCCATCACAGTCGTCCACACCGCCCTTGTCTCATCACCACCCCACAAATCCGGCGACTCCACAACTGCCCTTGACCTGGTCGGCTGCCCTTAGCCTTAACACCTGCTCTCCCAGCCCCACCTCCGCCCCATGTCCTGTCCCAGCCTCACTTTGAGGTCATTTCGCCCAAAACCCTACTCATACTACAACCGCACCAAATCCATCAAGGGCGGCTGATCTAGCACCGATGACGCTCCGTCGCAGAAGACAGAACCAACAGAGGCACGGTCACTGAGGACGACGCCTAAATATGCACCGCGAGTCGATTTCAATCGCATCGATGATATGGAGAAGATGAACGATGTAGTTGAAAATAAGGCAAGCAACGACGGAGAAATAAGCGAAGAAGAAGAGTTGTCGTGGTGCGGGGGCGGCAGGAGACCGGCGTTGTGGTAGCGGTGGTGGCGGAGAAGAACTTTGAGTCTGGTGCGTGGAGAATCGTCTAGCAAATGATGGTTATGAGGATCCGTCTGAGGAAAGGATTTAGGGTTAGGACATGCATTTTAAGGACATTTTAGTACAATTACTCATTAAATGGTCATTTTATTTTATCTTAATGAAAATCAGTCATATTTTTGTCCACTAATAAAACTTTAGAAGTAATACCAGGGTAATTATTTCCAATTTAAATGGGTTAATTCTTAAATGGAGTGAGGAGTAGTTGCCACTAATAAAGTCTAGATTTAACTTATTATGAAAAATCCCGCATAAAGCATCCCAATCCTTTAGAGTTTTCTTTCCCAGCTTTTGGCTTAAAAAGTGTAAAAGTGTTTTCAATTGACAACTTCTACTTAGAGAGTGTTTGCAAAAGAAAAAAAATGTTTTCCAACTTTTGACTTAAAAAAAAAACTGAAATTGGTGTTTTTAAGTGACAGTTTCTACTTAAATTAATTAATCACCTAAGAACTAAAAGTTGGAAGCAAGTTGAGGGATGTTTTAAATTGCTTTTCACTTTTTCTATTACACATAAACACTTATTTTATCAAACACTACCAACTTTTATTTTTTCACATTTTTTCCCAAATATTATGAACTTTTACTACTCCCTCCGTTCTTTAATAAAAGTCCTTCTTTCCTTTTTGGGACGTTTTTTTATCCACGTCCTCCTTTCCATTTAAGGAAAGTTTTTACTCTAAATATACCTTTATACCCCCACTTTTATTACCATTACCCCTTTCTCTTTCCTACTTTTTCATTTACCCACTACTCATTACACCTTTTACACTACCCCTACTATTTTCCTCTTAAAACCCGTGCCAAAGCCTAAGAGGACTTATATTAAAGAACGGAGGGAGTATTAGACACTTCTTCCAAAACCACTTTAAAAAAATTATTTTTTTAAAGTAGAAGCATCACAAGCACTCACTTAAATTAATACTTAAACTAAAAGCTAGAATCTCCCTTTTACATTTCCTATCACACAAAAAGCACTTATTTTAGCATACATCACCAACTTTATTTTCTCAAAATTATTTTTTTCTCAAACACTACCCAATTTGACTATTAAACATTTTTTTAAAATAAAGTTTTTTTTTTTGCAATTTTTTTAAAATAAAGTTCAAAAGCACTTTTTAAAGTAGGGTTTTTTACGAGAATATTACTAAAATAAAACTTATTTACATAAATATGACTATTCATTACTACAACGTAGTGCTGTGGTAACTAAAGTTCAAAACTTGAACATAAATTACTATGATTTCATTACTACTTTAGTAATGAATCATATTTTTGTAAACTATCTTTATTTTGGTCATATTTATGTAATTATTTCTTTAAAGTAGCAAACATAGCCTAGAAACTCATCCACCATTTTGCCTCATGGTAGCAAACAAACTGGTGCATAGTGCCTTCCTAGTTCAGCACCATAGCTCGGAATCTCCAATTTGCAATCCAATGTTGAATCTCAGCCATGCACAGTTAGTTACTTCCATTCGTTCTCCTTCTATTGATAGACTAAAACTCAAATTCGTATCGTCTGGGAACTTCAATGCTCCAATCAAGGCTGCTCTCTCTTCTTTTTCATCAGGAGGGAACTATAACAAAAACACAGACCAAATGATCCCCCCCTACAACGTTTTGATCACAGGCGGTTCTAAAGGTTTGTTTCCTTTCCCCTTATGGCCTGTTTGTCTCATTCCTCATGCGATTTTTTCTAATATGCCCACACATCCATCGCACATACACATCTCTGATTCTTGGTTTTCTTTCAAAGACTGTTTTTGATATTTTTTGGTTTTGATTCTTGGTTTGGTAGTATGAGCAATTATGCCGATAGAAGAGAGTTCATCTCTATGGGGTTAGCGAACTGTTCCGTCCGTTGGGGGCTATTCAGTTATATGTCTCATCCCATTGTAGTCTTAGACTATCTGATTTCTTTTGTTCTTGTATTTCTATCACTAATAAATAAGTTTATCTCCTCCAAAAATTATTGTATTTAATAGTTCAGCAATTTCAGCCTACAATGTCAGCAATTTAGGCAACTTCAGATTTACCAGTTAGGCTCATAAGTACTTTTTAAGTTTATTATTGATTTAATGTGAATGGCTGTTGCCAAACAAGTTTGAATCAAAGCACATGTTTGCACCACTATTGTCGTCTCTTTCATTTGGGCAAAATATTCTCTCTTTAGCGTGGAGTGTATTTGTATCATGTATGAAAGTTGTATTAGTACAAACACTTATATGTACCTAGATAACTAGGTAAGACTTAAATCTAAAATAGTGTAACAGTGTCTATGAATCTCTATTGTTTAGAATCTCTACTTTGTTTCTCTTTCACATGCACTTCTTTTCCTATTCCTTTAATATATATGCAGTTATTTTTTATAGTTTCTTTGTCATATCAGGAATTGGATATGCACTTGCTAAAGAGTTTCTGAAGGCGGGTGATAATGTCTTTATTTGCTCTAGATCAGGCAAGAGTTCTATGAAATAATGTAATAAACCTCATTTTTTTCCCATACTTATATTTAATTTCTCTCACACAAAAATGATTTGTAGTTAGCTAAGCAGCTGCACATTTAATGTAAATCTCTCACGTACTTTTGTTATAAAAATAGATGAATGAAACAAGAAGGAATTTATAAGACTTATCTCGTTCAACTGAATGTAACACTGTGCTATGTGAGCTAATTAGCTTATGTAATATGAGTTTAAAAGCCAAAAGCAAAAGCTTCCCTAAAAAGCGCTCTCCGAACTACTCATATCCCCATTTGGGGAATTTCGAGAAGTTACATTTTTTCTTTATATATGTTTCATCTTTTATATCCAAAAGTTGTTCCTTTTCTATTTTTATTTTTATACATATATATTACCCTTTTTAGGGAAAGAAGCATTTTATTGATGACAAATGAAGTAAACATACTCATGATAGAAGAAAACAAATAAGAAGGCTCTTGGAAGTCAAATTCCATAGGAAGATAAAACCAAGTTATACTTCATTTGTAATTACAACAGTTAAACACCAAATACTTTCATACCACTTTCATACCACTAACATTGGGACATGAGGAGGTGGTGCGGTTATTAAGAAAAATGAGTTTATGTGGTTGATATTGAATTGTTAAAGTAAAAATAAAGTAAGAATGATTTAGAGCCACACAAATTTTACCAAATTTAGTACGAGACAATCTTAGTGGGACGGACGGAAAAGGAAAGATGAGACAATCTTAGCGGGACGGAGGAAGTAAGTCAGATCACTACTTTTTCAAATCAAATACGGAGTTTAACATCTATTTAAACTCTTCCATTTTCCTCCCCTCCCCCGCTCCCATTTTCCTCCCTTTTTTGAGTTAGATAATGGCTTAAATCCTCATTAAATTCTAGAGAGAAGATACAAAAAAAATCCAAGATATTGTTGACTTGCTTTAATGAGATGATGAGAACATGGTGCTAGACAGAAAAAAATGGAGAATGAAGGTATTAGTGAATGACCTCTTTGAAGTTATCAATTGGTTCATATAGACAACACTCATTGATTTAGGATTAAGGCAATGTTGTTGTGTACTGTTACTTGCTTTATATAGTCTAATGACATGTGCCACAAATCATTTTTTTTAAAGCAGCTGAAAGAGTGGACTGCGCTCTTGAAAAGTTAAGGGAAGAAACGGGGAAGCAACATGTGTGGGTATCTTCATCATGACCATTCGTTATTTGTTGATATTTAACTGATTATTTTTTGAGCATCTTACCATGGGAAACTTTAAGTAACCCCAACATTTTACCTTTGGCTTGTTACATGTACTGTACATTACATCCGATTACTAAACTTTGACAATTACTACTACCTCCGTCCTATACAAAGTTTCCCGTCCACTATTCTCCGGTCAACATAAAGTCTTCTTAATCTTTTACTTTATATATCCAACTTTTATCAAATTTGAGTTTTTTGTGCGACTTTATGAACTTGTAATGTAGTTTCTGAATATGTAAATTTTATTTACTAAAAATAATTTTAACACGGACAGGGATCAGTTAACTTTGGTCAGTCAAACACCGTAAACTGTGTGGGAACTTTTGTACGGGATAGAGGGAGTATTTCTGTAGTCAACACGATTCATTTTTGTTTTCTAATTTTGATTATATTTTTTTATCATAATTAAAATTGATATTTCATGGGTCATCCAGAAACAATCTCTTTGTGCTTTAGTACAAGGGTAAGGCTGTGTCCATCCAATCCCCCTTACCCCATTGTAAGTGGGAGCCTTTGCGGCACTGGGGTAATGTTTACCCCATTGTAAACATTAGTGTAGTTTTTAAATACTCCCTCCGTCCCGAAAACAACTTCCCACTTTCCTTAAATGGATGTCCCAAAATTAACTTCACACTTCAATACTTTCCTTATTTGGCAAATTATCTACATAAAAAAAGTGATAAACAGTGTCAAACAGTGTTTAAACAGTGCCAAACAGTGTTTAAACAGTGCCAAACAGTGCTTAAACAGTGCAAAACAGTGCATTCTACAGTAAAGTCAAATTTATTTCCTAAAAGTGTGTGAAAGTCCAACCGGGAAGTTGTTTTCGGGACGGAGGGAGTATGTAACTTTTAAATACCAATATTGATCTAAATATTGTCAGGGAGTAATTATTACGAATATTGCCAGAAAAACATAAAACTAGGAAGAACTAAGAAATGGGATTGTTGGATAGTCACACTTATTTGTGGTTGATTTGGTCAATTTGTTTACCTCTTCAAGACCCAGTTTGGTCTGAAGGGATGTGTTATATGTCTCACATTGAATATTTACTGGAATTTAGTCTATTTTTAAGTGTGATATAAACTCATAATCCTGACCTTTTATAAGTGTAATATAACTCATACTCCTGACCTCTTGAGAATCCTTTCGGGGGATTAGGCCCAACTCAATTAATCTGAAGAGGATTCTTGTGACTCATTCAATGTATATTTTATATTGGCAGGGTACTAAGTGCGACATTCGGGATAGCAACAATGTAAGACGCTTAGTTGCATTT